ACCTCTACCACTCTCACTACCTCCCCCACCATCACCTCCACCACCACCAACTCCTACACAACCACCACCACCACCACCACCACCATCACCACCACCACCTCCACCACCATCACCACCACCACCACCACCACCTCCACCTCTACCCTCACCACCACCACTACCACCTCTACCCCTACCATCACCACCACCTCCACCTCTACCCCCACCATCACCACCACCATGTCCACCTCTACCACCACTACCACCTCTACCACCACCACCACCACCTCCACCACCACCACCACCACCACCCCCACCGCCCCCCCTGCCCCCCGCCGAGCCCCCCCCCCCCCGCCGCCACCGTCTCCAGCGGCCCCCCCGAGTCAACGGCGATGACTGGCCTCGCGGCTGCCATGGCCTCCAGCGGCACGATGCCGAAGTGCTCCCTGGGCGGCGTGTAGAGAACGGCGCGGCAGCAGGCCAACAGGCTCAGCTTCAGTGCCTCGCACGGAGACTTCAGGAAGGTCACGTGGTTGTCACCGTGGTTACCGTCACCGTGGTTACTGTCGCCGTGGTCACCGTGGTCGCCGTGGTTGTGGTCGCCGTGGTTACTGTCGCCGTGGCGACGGAGGCCCAAAGCCAGGGCCATGGCCCGCAGGCCCTCCAGCACAGCGGCGTTCTCCGGGCTCTGGGGGTCGAAGCCACCGGCCACCACCAAGTGGCAACTCGGCCACACGCGGGGGGACAGCAGCGGGCGCAGGTGGGCTAGGGGGGTGGGAGGGTAGGGTGAGGGTGAGGGTGGTGAGGGTGGTGAGGGTGGTAAGGGTGGTGAGGGTGGTGAGTGTGAGGGTGGTGAGGGTGGTGAGGGTGGTGAGGGTGAGGGTGGTGAGGGTGGTGGTGAGTGGGTGAGGGTGGTGGTGAGAGTGGTGGTGAGTGGGTGAGGGTGGTGGTGAGGGTGGTGGTGAGAGTGGTGGTGAGTGGGTGAGGGTGGTGGTGGTGGGTGAGGGTGGTGATGGTGAGGGTGGGTGAGGGTGGTGAGTGGGTGAGCGTGGTGAGTAAGGGGGGTGATGGTGGTGAGTGGGTGAGGGTGGTGGTGAGGGTGGTGAGGGTGATGATGGTGGTGGTGAGTAAGGGGGGTGAGGGTGGTGAGGGTGGTGGTGAGTAAGGGGGGTGGTGGTGAGTAAGGGGGGGGATGGTGGTGAGGGTGGTGAGTAGGTGAGGAAGGGGGGTGGGTGAGGGTGGTGAGGGTGGTGAGGGTGGTGAGGGTGGGTGAGGAAGGGGGGTGAGGGTGGTGAGGAAGGGGGGTGAGGGTGGTGAGTGGGTGAGGGTGGTGAGTGGGTGAGCGTGGTGAGGAAGGGGGGTGATGGTGGTGAGGGTGGTGAGTGGGTGAGGGTGGTGATGGTGGTGGTGAGTAAGGGGGGTGAGGGTGGTGAGGGTGGTGAGGGTGGTGAGGAGAGTGAGGATGATGGGGCAGTGGTGAGATTCACAGAGACCCATAGACACTGTCTCTGTGTCTCTGTCTGTGTCTCTGTCTGTGTCTCTGTGTCTGTGTCTCTCTGTCTCTCTCTGTCTGTGTCTCTGTGTCTGTGTCTCTGTGTCTGTGTCTGTGTCTCTGTCTGTGTCTCTGTTTGTGTCCCCGTGTCTCTCTGTCTCTGTCTGTGTCTCTGTCTGTGTCTGTGTCTGTGTGTCTTACCCATGTCGTGTAGCGCTAGCTCCAGACCCTTCTTGTGCTCGTAGCGATTGATGGACAGGAACAAGATGTCTCTCTGTCTCTGTCTGTCTGTGTCTCTGTGTCTGTCTGTCTCTGTGTGTCTGTGTCTCTGTGTGTCTGTGTCTCTGTGTCTCTGTCTGTGTCTCTGTCTGTGTGTCTGTGTCTGTGTCTCTGTCTCTGTGTCTGTGTGTCTCTGTGTCTCTGTCTGTGTCTCTCTGTCTCTGTCTGTGTGTCTCTCTGTCTGTCTCTCTGTCTCTGTGTCTCTGTCTGTCTGTGTGTCTGTGTCTCTCTGTGTCTGTGTGTCTCTGTGTCTCTGTGTCTGTGTGTGTGTGTCTCTCTGTGTGTCTCTGTCTCTGTGTCTCTGTGTCTGTGTCTGTGTGTCTCTCTGTCTCTCTGTGTGTCTGTGTCTCTGTGTGTCTCTGTCTGTGTCTCTGTGTCTCTGTGTGTCTGTGTGTCGCTGTGTCTCTGTCTGTGTGTCTCTGTCTGTGTCTGTGTGTCTTACCCATGTCGTGTAGCGCTAGCTCCAGACCCTTCTTGTGCTCGTAGCGATTGATGGACAGGAACAAAATGTCTCTCTGTCTCTGTGTCTATCTCTGTGTCTCTGTGTCTCTCTGTCTCTGTGTCTGTCTCTCTGTGTCTCTGTGTCTCTGTGTCTGTCTGTGTGTCTCTGTCTGTGTCTCTGTGTGTCTGTGTGTCTCTGTCTCTGTGTCTGTGTCTCTGTGTGTCTGTGTGTCTCTCTGTCTGTGTGTCTGTGTCTGTGTGTCTGTGTCTCTGTGTGTCTGTGTGTGTGTGTCTCTGTCTCTGTGTGTCTGTCTGTCTGTGTCTCTGTCTGTCTCTCTGTCTCTCTGTGTGTCTCACCCATGTCGTGTAGCGCTAGCTCCAGACCCTTCTTGTGCTCGTAGCGATTGATGGACAGGAACAAGATGTCTCTCTGTCTCTGTGTCTCTGTCTCTCTGTGTGTCTCTGTGTGTCTCTGTGTGTCTGTGTGTCTCTGTGTCTCACCCATGGCGTGTAGCGCTAGCTCCAGACCCTTCTTGTGCTCGTAGCGATTGATGGACAGGAACAAGATGTCTCTCTGTCTCTGTGTGTCTGTGTGTGTGTGTCTGTGTGTGTCTCTCTGTGTCTCTGTGTCTCTCTGTGTCTTACCCATGGCGTGTAGCGCTAGCTCCAGACCCTTCTTGTGCTCGTAGCGATTGATGGACAGGAACAAGATGGTTCTCCGTGATGTGAAGACGCCCGGTGGCAGGCCGAGCGAGGCCAAATCGTCTGCCTGAGGCCCTCCACCACCACCACCACCATCACCACCACCATCACCACCACCACCACCACCACCACCGTCACCACCACCATCACCACCACCACCACCACCACCGCCACCTCCGTCACCACGGTCCAGCAGTGGAGAGAGCCTCACCGAGGGGTAGATCACCCGCAGAGGGCGGTGGCTGAGAGAGGGGAAAGTTTCCCTGAAGACCGACGCTGTGTGGTGGTGGTGGTGGTGGGAGATGGTGGTGGTGGTGGGGGGGGAGATGGTGGTGGTGGTGGGGGGAGATGGTGGTGGTGGGGTGTGTGGTGGTGGTGGGGGTGGTGGGGGGAGATGGTGGTGGTGGTGGGGGGAGATGGTGGTGGTGGGGAGAGTGGTGGTGGTGGTGGGGGGAGATGGTGGTGGTGGGGACAGTGGTGGTGGTGGTGGTGGGAGGAGATGGTGGTGGTGGGGAGAGTGGTGGTGGTGGTGGGAGATGGTGGTGGTGGTGGGGGGAGATGGTGGTGGGGGGAGATGGCGGTGGTGGTGGGGGGAGATGGTGGTGGTGGTGGGGGGAGATGGTGGTGGTGGTGGGGGGAGAGGTGGTGGTGGGGGGAGATGGTGGTGGTGGTGGTGGTAGTGGTGGTGGTGGGAGATGGTGGTGGTGGTGGTGGGGGGAGATGGTGGTGGTGGTGGGGGGAGATGGTGGTGGTGGTGGGGGGAGAGATGGTGGTGGTGGTGGTGGGGGGAGAGATGGTGGTGGTGGTGGGGGGAGAGGTGGTGGTGGGGAGGAGATGGTGGTGGTGGTGGGGGGAGAGGTGGTGGTGGGGGGAGATGGTGGTGGTGGGGGGAGATGGTGGTGGTGGTGGGGGGAGATGGTGGTGGTGGTGGGGGGAGATGGTGGTGGTGGTGGGGGGAGATGGTGGTGGTGGTGGTGGGGAGATGGTGGTGGTGGTGGGGGGAGATGGTGGTGGTGGGGAGAGTGGTGGTGGGGAGATGGTGGTGGTGGTGGGGGGAGATGGTGGTGGTGGTGGTGGGGGGAGATGGTGGTGGTGGTGGGGGGAGATGGTGGTGGTGGGGGGAGATGATGGGGGGAGTGGGGAGGAGAGTGGGGGGGGGGAGAGAGGATATTCGTTACGGTAATCGTAGCTGTGGTTGTTGTGGTTGTTGATGTTGTGTTGTTGTGGTTGTTGATGTTGTGTTGTTGTGGTTGTTGTTGTGTTGTTGTGGTTGTTGTTGTGGTTGTTGTGGTGGTGGTGGTTGTTGTTGTGGTTATTGTTGTGGTTGTTGTTGTGGTTGTTGTTGTTGTGTTGTTGTGGTTGTTGTTGTGGTTGTTGTTGTGGTGGTTGTGGTGGTGGTTGTTGTGGTGGTGGTTGTGGTGGTTGTGGTGGTGGTTGTGGTAGCGATGGTGGTGGTGGTTGTGGTGGCTGTTGTGGTGGTGGCTGTGGTGGTTGTGGTGGTGGTTGTAGTGGTGGTGATGTGGTGATGTTGGTGGTTGTGGTGATGGTTGTGGTAGCGATGGTGGTGGTTGTGGTGGTGGTGATGGTGGTGGTCGCTATGGTGACTATCCGTTGTTGCTATGGCGGTCGCTATGGTGATTATTCGTGGTTGCTATGGCGGTTGCTATGGCGGTCGCTATGGTGACTATACGTGGTTGCTATGGCGGTCGCTATGGTGATTATTCGTGGTTGCTATGGCGGTTGCTATGGCGGTCGCTATGGTGACTATACGTGGTTGCTATGGCGGTCGCTATGGTGATTATTCGTGGTTGCTATGGCGGTTGCTATGGCGGTCGCTATGGTGATTATCAGTGGTTGCTATAGCGGTCGCTGTGGTGATTATCCGTGGTTGCTATGGCGGTTGCTATGGCGGCCGCTATGATGACTATCAGTGGTTGCTATGGCGGTTGCTATGGTGATTATCCGTGGTTGCTATGGCGGTTGCTATGGCGGCCGCTATGGTGAATATCAGTGGTCGCTATGGCGGTTGCTATGGTGATTATCCGTGGTTGCTATGGCGGTCGTTATGGTGGTTGCTACGGAGATAATCCGGTGGTGGCTGCGGCGGTTGCCGTGGGTTACCGGTGAACCGTGAATTCACACAGAGGCGATGTGCCAGGCCTGTAGCCCACTCCTCAGCGTGGTCCAGGGGCAGACGATAGAACCTCCTGAGGGAGAACGGAGCGGAGCGTGGAGACAGGAGCAGGTCTGGGTAGTGGCAGTAGAAGACCACCCTCATTGTGGTGCACAGCCTGTGGGAGAGAGATAAGGGAGAGAGAGATAAGGGAGAGATAAGAGAGAGATAAGAGAGAGATAAGGGAGAGATAAGAGAGAGATAAGGGAGAGATAAGAGAGAGATAAGAGAGAGTAACAGGTCTGGGTAGTGGCAGTAGAAGACCACCCTCATTGTGGTGCACAGCCTGTGGGGGAGAGAGATAAGGGGGAGAGATAAGGGAGAGATAAGGGAGAGATAAGAGAGAGATAAGAGAGAGTAACAGGTCTGGGTAGTGGCAGTAGAAGACCACCCTTATTGTGGTGCACAGCCTGTGGGGGAGAGAGACAAGGGGGAGATAAGGGAGAGAGATAAGGGAGAGAGATAAGGGAGAGAGATAAGGGAGAGATAAGGGAGAGATAAGGGAGAGATAAGAGAGAGATAAGGGAGAGATAAGGGAGAGATAAGGGAGAGATAAGGGAGATAATATAGAGACAAGATAGAGATAAGAGAGAGATAAGAGAGAGACGAGAGAGAGACAAGATAGAGATAAGAGAGAGATAAGAGAGAGATAAGAGAGAGATAAGAGAGAGATAAGAGAGAGATAAGAGAGAGATAAGAGACAAGAGAGAGATAAGACAGAGATAAGAGAGAGATAAATAGAGAGATAAGAGAGAGATAAATAGAGAGATAATGGAGAGATAAGCGAGAGATAAGAGAGAGATAAGAGAGAGATAAGAGAGAGATAAGAGAGAGATAAATAGAGAGATAATAGAGAGATGAATAGAGAGATAATGGAGAGATAAGAGAGAGTTAAGAGAGAGCTAAGAGAGAGTTAAGAGAGAGTTAAGAGAGAGAGTTAAGAGAGAGTTAAGAGAGAGTTAAGAGAGAGATAAGAGAGAGTAAAAGAGAGAGAGTTAAGAGAGAGTTAAGAGAGAGTTAAGAGAGAGTTAAGAGAGAGTTAAGAGAGAGTTAAGAGAGAGAGTTAAGAGAGAGAGAGTTAAGAGAGAGTTAAGAGAGAGCTAAGAGAGAGCTAAGAGAGAGTTAAGAGAGAGAGTTAAGAGAGAGAGTTAAGAGAGAGTTAAGAGAGAGTTAAGAGAGAGTTAAGAGAGAGTTGAGAGAGTTAAGAGCGAGAGAGAGTTAAGAGCGAGAGAGAGTTAAGAGAGAGTTAAGAGAGAGTTAAGAGAGAGTTAAGAGAGAGTTAAGAGAGAGTTAAGAGAGAGTTAAGAGAGAGTTAAGAGAGAGTTAAGAGAGAGTTAAGAGAGAGTTAAGAGCGAGAGAGAGTTAAGAGAGAGTTAAGAGAGAGTTAAGAGAGAGCTAAGAGAGAGTTAAGAGAGAGTTTAAAGAGAGAGTTAAGAGAGAGAGTTAAGAGAGAGTTAAGAGAGAGCTAAGAGAGAGTTAAGAGAGAGCTAAGAGAGAGTTTTAAGAGAGAGTTTTAAGAGAGAGTTAAGAGAGAGTTAAGAGAGAGTTTAGAGAGAGTTTAGAGAGAGTTAAGAGAGAGTTAAGAGAGAGTTAAAAGAGAGTTAAGAGAGAGTTAAGAGAGAGTTAAAAGAGAGAGTTAAGAGAGAGAGTTAAGAGAGAGAGCTAAGAGAGAGTTAAGAGAGAGAGTTAAGAGAGAGAGTTAAGAGAGAGAGTTAAGAGAGAGTTAAGAGAGAGAGTTAAGAGAGAGTTAAGAGAGAGTTAAGAGCGAGAGAGAGTTAAGAGAGAGTTAAGAGAGAGCTAAGAGAGAGTTAAGAGAGAGCTAAGAGAGAGTTAAGAGAGAGTTTAAAGAGAGAGTTAAGAGAGAGAGTTAAGAGAGAGTTAAGAGAGAGAGTTAAGAGAGAGCTAAGAGAGAGTTAAGAGAGAGCTAAGAGAAAGTTAAGAGAGAGCTAAGAGAGAGTTAAGAGAGAGCTAAGAGAGAGAGTTAAGAGAGAGTTAAGAGAGAGTTAAGAGAGAGTTAAGAGAGAGAGAGTTAAGAGAGAGTTAAGAGAGAGTTAAGAGAGAGATAAGAGAGAGTAAAAGAGAGAGTTAAGAGAGAGTTAAGAGAGAGTTAAGAGAGAGTTAAGAGAGAGAGTTAAGAGAGAGAGTTAAGAGAGAGTTAAGAGAGAGTTAAGAGAGAGTTAAGAGAGAGAGTTAAGAGAGAGCTAAGAGAGAGCGTTAAGAGAGAGTTAAGAGAGAGTTAAGAGAGAGTTAAGAGAGAGAGAGTTAAGAGAGAGTTAAGAGAGAGTTAAGAGAGAGATAAGAGAGAGTAAAAGAGAGAGTAAAAGAGAGAGTTAAGAGAGAGTTAAGAGAGAGTTAAGAGAGAGAGTTAAGAGAGAGAGTTAACAGAGAGAGAGTTAAGAGAGAGAGTTAAGAGAGAGAGAGAGAGTTAAGAGAGAGTTAAGAGAGAGTTAACAGAGAGTTAAGAGAGAGTTAAGAGAGAGAGAGCTAAGAGAGAGTTAAGAGAGAGTTAAGAGAGAGAGTTAAGAGAGAGTTTAAAGAGAGAGTTAAGAGAGAGTTAAGAGAGAGAGTTAAGAGAGAGCTAAGAGAGAGTTAAGAGAGAGTTAAGAGAGGGGGCTAAAGAGGCGCCCTCCCCTCTGAGCGCCTCACCTAAAGAGAGGCACCGCGGCTGGCACCTGGTCACAGATGGCCACGTGGAAGGGGCCTCCCGGGTCCCCGCTGAAGTAGACAACGCAGAACGCCAAATAGAACATCCTCAGCCACGCGCATAGAGCCCGCCCCCAGCCACACACGCTGTGAGGGAGCCAATCACCTGCTACAGTCACCTACACACACACAGGGGTGGGTGGGGTGGGTGGGTGAGTGGGTGGGTGGGTGGGTTAGTGGGTGGGTGGGTGAGTGACTGGGTGAGTGAGTGAGTGGGTGAGTGAGTGAGTGGGTGAGTGGGTGAGTGGGTGAGTGAGTGAGTGACTGGGTGAGTGAGTGGGTGAGTGAGTGAGTTGGTGGGTGGGTGGGTTAGTGGGTGGGTGGGTGAGTGGGTGGGGGGGTGGGTGGGTGGGTGAGTGGGTGGGGGGGTGGGTGGGTGGGTGGGTGGGTGAGTGGGTGGGGGGGTGGGTGGGTGGGTGAGTGGGTGGGTGAGTGAGTGAGTGGGTGGGTGGGTGAGTGACTGAGTGAGTGACTGACTGAGTGACTGACTGAGTGAGTGAGTGGGTGAGTGGGTGAGTGAGTGGGTGGGTGGGTGGGTGACTGAGTGACTGAGTGACTGGGTGAGTGAGTGACTGAGTGACTGAGTGAGTGACTGAGTGACTGGGTGAGTGAGTGACTGAGTGACTGAGTGAGTGACTGAGTGACTGAGTGAGTGAGTGACTGAATGACTGACTGACTGAGTGACTGAGTGAGTGGCTGAGTGGCTGAGTGGGTGAGTGAGTGACTGGGTGAGTGAGTGGGTGACTGAGTGACTGACTGAGTGACTGAGTGACTGACTGAGTGACTGAGTGAGTGACCAATCCCCAACCTTGAGAGTCCCGTCGGTGGTCTCTGGGAAGCAGTGTGAGTGAGTGACTGGGTGGGTGAGTGAGTGAGTGGGTGAGTGAGTGACTGAGTGAGTGACTGAGTGACTGACTGAGTGACTGAGTGGGTGACTGACTGAGTGAATGAGTGACTGACTGACTGAATGACTGACTGACTGACTGAGTGACCAATCCCCCAACCTTGAGAGTCCCGTCGGTGGTCTCTGGGAAGCAGTGTGAGTGAGTGACTGGGTGAGTGGGTGACTGAGTGAGTGACTGACTGAGTGACTGACTGACTGAGTGACTGACTGAGTGACTGACTGACCAATCCCCAACCTTGAGAGTCCCGTCGGTGGTCTCTGGGAAGCAGTGTGAGTGAGTGACTGGGTGAGTGAGTGAGTGACTGAGTGACTGAGTGACTGACTGACTGACTGAGTGACTGACTGAGTGACTGACTGACCAATCCCCAACCTTGAGAGTCCCGTCGGTGGTCTCTGGGAAGCAGTGTGAGTGAGTGACTGGGTGAGTGAGTGACTGACTGAGTGAGTGAGTGAGTGGGTGAGTGAGTGAATGACCAATCCCCAACCTTGAGAGTCCCGTCGGTGGTCTCTGGGAAGCAGTGTGAGTGAGTGACTGGGTGAGTGAGTGACTGAGTGAGTGACTGAGTGAGTGACTGACTGAGTGACTGACTGAGTGACTGAGTGACTGACTGAGTGACCAATCCCCAACCTTGAGAGTCCCGTCGGTGGTCTCTGGGAAGCAGTGTGAGTGAGTGACTGGGTGAGTGAGTGACTGACTGAGTGAGTGAGTGAGTGGGTGAGTGAGTGAGTGACCAATCCCCAACCTTGAGAGTCCCGTCGGTGGTCTCTGGGAAGCAGTGTGAGTGAGTGACTGGGTGAGTGAGTGACTGACTGAGTGACTGAGTGAGTGACTGACTGAGTGACTGAGTGAGTGACTGAGTGACTGACTGAGTGACCAATCCCCAACCTTGAGAGTCCCGTCGGTGGTCTCTGGGAAGCAGTGTGAGTGTGTGACTGGGTGAGTGAGTGAGTTACTGAGTGAGTGACTGAGTGACTGAGTGAGTGAGTGACTGAGTGACTGAGTGACTGAGTGACTGAGTGAATGACTGAGTGACCAATCCCCAACCTTCAGAGTCCCGTCGGTGGTCTCTGGGAAGCAGTGTGAGTGATCGTGGTGGGCGGTGAACACGTGCACGGTGTGGCCACGCTCCTGCAGGCTCAGAGCCACGTCCACACAGAGCCTCTCAGCTCCACCGATGCCCAGGTCAGGGTGGAGGAGAGCCACACGGAGAGGAGCCATCGCTGGCTCACTGCGGGGGGAGAGATTACTCAGTCAGTCAGTCAGTCACTCAGTCAGTCACTCAGTCAGTCAGTCAGTCACTCAGTCAGTCACTCAGTCACTCACTCAGTCACTCACTCAGTTACTCACTCAGTTACTCAGTCACTCACTCAGTCACTCAGTCACTCACCCAGTTACTCACTCAGTCAGTCAGTCACTCAGTCAGTCACTCACTCAGTTACTCACTCAGTCACTCAGTCACTCAGTCAGTCACTCAGTCACTCACTCAGTCAGTCACTCAGTCAGTCAGTCACTCAGTCAGTCAGTCAGTCACTCAGTCAGTCAGTCAGTCACTCAGTCAGTCACTCAGTCAGTCACTCACTCACTCAGTCAGTCACTCAGTCACTCACTCAGTCACTCACTCAGTTACTCACTCAGTTACTCAGTCACTCACTCAGTCACTCAGTCACTCACCCAGTTACTCACTCAGTCAGTCAGTCACTCAGTCAGTCACTCACTCAGTTACTCACTCAGTCACTCAGTCACTCAGTCAGTCACTCAGTCACTCAGTCACTCACTCAGTCACTCACTCAGTCAGTCAGTCACTCACTCAGTCACTCACTCAGTCACTCAGTTACTCACTCAGTCACTCAGTCACTCAGTCAGTCAGTCACTCAGTCACTCAGTCAGTCACTCAGTCAGTCACTCAGTCAGTCACTCAGTCACTCACTCAGTTACTCAGCTACTCACTCAGTCACTCAGTCACTCACTCAGTTACTCACTCAGTTACTCACTCAGTCACTCACTCAGTTACTCACTCAGTTACTCACTCAGTCACTCACTCACTCACTCAGTCACTCAGTCAGTCAGTCACTCAGTCAGTCACTCAGTCACTCACTCACTCACTCAGTCACTCAGTCACTCACTCAGTCAGTCAGTCAGTCACTCACTCAGTTACTCACTCAGTCACTCACTCAGTCACTCACTCAGTCACTCAGTCAGTCACTCAGTCAGTCACTCAGTCAGTCACTCAGTCAGTCACTCAGTCACTCACTCAGTCACTCAGTCAGTCACTCACTCAGTTACTCAGCTACTCACTCAGTCACTCAGTCACTCACTCAGTTACTCACTCAGTTACTCACTCAGTCACTCACTCAGTCACTCACTCAGTTACTCACTCAGTTACTCACTCAGTTACTCACTCAGTCACTCACTCAGTTACTCACTCAGTTACTCACTCACTCACTCAGTCACTCACTCAGTCACTCAGTCAGTCAGTCACTCAGTCACTCACTCAGTCACTCAGTCAGTCAGTCACTCACTCAGTTACTCACTCAGTCACTCACTCAGTCACTCACTCAGTTACTCACTCAGTTACTCACTCAGTCACTCACTCAGTCACTCACTCAGTTACTCACTCAGTCACTCACTCAGTCACTCAATCAGTCACTCAGTCACTCACTCAGTCACTCACTCAGTTACTCACTCAGTCACTCACTCAGTCACTCAGTCACTCACTTAGTTACTCACTCAGTTACTCACTCAGTCACTCACTCAGTCACTCACTCAGTTACTCAATCAGTCACTCAATCAGTCACTCAGTCACTCACTCAGTTACTCACTCAGTCACTCACTCAGTTACTCACTCACTCAGTCAGTCAGCCACTCAGCCACTCAGTCAGTTACTCAGCTACTTAGTCACTCACTCACTCAGTTACTCAGCTACTCACTCACTCAGTTACTCACTCAGTCACTCACTCAGTTACTCACTCAGTCAGTCAGCCACTCAGTCACTCAGTCACTCACTCAGTTACTCACTCAGTCACTCACTCAGTCACTCAGTCAGTCAGTCACTCAGCCACTCAGTCAGTTACTCACTCACTCAGTCAGTCACTCACTCAGTTCTCACTCACTCAGTCAGTCACTCAGTCACTCAGTCACTCACTCAGTCACTCACTCAGTTACTCACTCAGTCACTCACTCAGTCACTCACTCAGTTACTCACTCAGTCACTCACTCAGTCACTCACTCAGTTACTCACTCAGTTACTCACTCACTCAGTCACTCAGCCACTCAGTCAGTTACTCAGCTACTCAGTCACTCACTCACTCAGTTACTCAGCTACTCACTCACTCACTCAGCTACTCAGCCACTCACTCAGTTACTCAGCCACTCACTCAGCTACTCAGCCACTCACTCAGTTACTCAGCCACTCACTCAGTTACTCACTCACTCAGTTACTCACTCAGTTACTCACTCAGTTACTCACTCAGTCACTCAGTCAGCTACTCACTCAGTCACTCAGCCACTCACTCAGCCACTCACTCAGCCACTCACTCATCCACTCACTCAGACAGTCACTCACTCAGCCACTCACTCACTCAGTCACTCAGCCACTCACTCAGTCACTCACTCACTCAGTCATTCACTCGGTCACTCACTCACTCAGTCACTCACTCAGTCACCCACTTAGTCACTCAGTCACTCACTCAGTTACTCACTCAGTCACTCACTCAGTTACTCACCCACTCAGTTACTCACTCACTCACTCAGTTACTCACTCAGCTACTCACTCACTCAGCCACTCACTCACTCACTCAGACAATCAGTCTCCCACTCACTCAGCCACTCACTCATCCACTCACTCACTCAGCCACTCACTCACTCAGTCATTCACTCAGACAGTCACTTAGCCACTCACTCAGTCACTCACTCACTCAGCCACTCACTCACTCAGCCACTCACTCAGTCATTCACTCACTCAGCCACTCACTCACTCAGCCACTCACTCACTCAGTCATTCACTCAGACAGTCACTCACTCAGCCACTCACTCACTCAGCCACTCACTCACTCAGTCACTCACTCAGACAGTCACTTGCTCAGCTACTCACTCAGTCACTCAGCTACTCACTCAGCTACGCAGTCAGCCACTCGCTCAGCCACTCACTCAGTCACTCGCCCAATCAGTCACCCACTCAGTCACCCAGAGAGAATGACACGGCGAGAGAGACAGAGTGAGAGACACAGAGACAGACAGAGTGAGAGACACAGAGACAGACAGAGTGAGAGACACAGAGACAGAGTGAGAGAGACAGAGTGAGAGACACAGAGTGAGAGACACAGAGACAGACAGAGTGAGAGAGACAATGTGAGAGAGACAGAGTGAGAGACACAGAGACAGAGTGAGAGACACACAGACAGACAGAGTGAGAGAGACAATGTGAGAGAGACAGAGTGAGAGACACAGAGACAGACAGAGTGAGAGAGACAATGTGAGAGAGACAGAGTGAGAGACACAGAGACAGACAGAGTGACAGACACAGAGACAGAGTGAGAGACACAGAGACAGAGACAGACAGAGTGAGAGAGACAGAGACAGAGTGAGAGACACAGAGACAGAGTGAGAGACAGAGAGACAGAGTGAGAGACAGACAGACAGACAGAGTGAGAGACACAGAGACAGACAGACAGAGTGACAGAGACAGACAGAGTGAGAGACACAGAGACAGACAGAATGAGAGACACAGAGACAGACAGAGTGACAGAGACAGACAGAGTGAGAGACACAGAGACAGAGTGAGAGACACAGAGACAGACAAAGTGAGAGAGACAATGTGAGAGAGACAGAGTGAGAGACACAGAGACAGACAGAGTGAGAGACACAGAGACAGAGACAGACAGAGTGAGAGAGACAGAGACAGAGTGAGAGAGACAGAGACAGACAGAGTGAGAGAGACAATGTGAGAGAGACAGAGTGAGAGACACAGAGACAGACAGAGTGAGAGACACAGAGACAGAGTGAGAGACACAGAGACAGACAGAGTGACAGAGACAGACAGAGTGAGAGACACAGAGACAGAGTGAGAGACACAGAGACAGACAGAGTGAGAGAGACAGAGACAGACAGAGTGAGAGAGACACAGAGACAGACAGAGTGAGAGACACAGAGACAGAGTGAGAGACACAGAGACAGACAGAGTGACAGAGACAGACAGAGTGAGAGACACAGAGACAGAGTGAGAGACACAGAGACAGACAGAGTGAGAGAGACAGAGACAGACAGAGTGAGAGAGACACAGAGACAGAGTGAGACACAGAGACAGAGTGAGACACAGAGACAGAGTGAGACACAGAGAGAGACAGAGTGAGACACAGAGACAGAGTGAGACACACACACAGAGTGAGAGAGACACAGAGACAGAGTGAGAGACACAGAGACAGACATACAGAGACAGAGTGAGAGAGAGAGAGACAGAGTGAGAGAGACACAGAGACAGACAGAGTGAGAGACACAGAGACAGAGTGAGAGACGCAAAGACAGACAGAGTGAGAGAGACACAGACACAGAGTGACAGAGACAGACAGAGTGAGAGACACAGAGACAGAGACAGAGTGAGAGAGACAGAGACAGACAAAGTGAGAGACACAGAGACAGAGACAGAGTGAGAGAGACAGAGACAGACAAAGTGAGAGACACAGAGACAGAGACAGAGTGAGAGAGACAGAGACAGACAGAGTGAGAGACACAGAGACAGAGACAGAGTGAGAGAGACAGAGACAGAGTGAGAGACACAGACAGAGTGAGAGATACAGACAGAGTGAGAGATACAGAGTGAGACACAGACAGAGTGAGACACAGAGAGAGACAGAGTGAGAGACACAGACAGCCAGAGTGAGAGAGACAGAGTGAGAGAGACAGAGACAAGACAGAGTGAGAGACACAGAGACAGACAGAGTGAGAGAGACAGAGACAGAGTGAGAGACACAGAGACAGACAGAGTGAGAGACACAGAGACAGACAGAGTGAGAGACACAGAGACAGACAGAGTGAGAGACACAGAGTGAGAGACAGACAGAGTGAGAGACACAGAGACAGACACAGAGTGACAGAGTGACAGAGACAGAGTGAGAGACACAGAGACAGAGTGAGAGACACAAAGACAGACAGAGTGACAGACAGAGAGAGTGAGAGAGACACAGAGACAGAGTGAGAGACACAAAGACAGACAGAGTGAGAGAGACAGAGACAGAGTGAGAGACACAGACACAGAGTGAGAGACACAGACAGAGTGAGAGACACAGAGATAGACAGTGAGACACAGAGACAGACAGAGTGAGACACACAGTGAGAGACACAGACACAGAGTGAGAGACACAGAGTGAGACACAGACAGAGTGAGACACAGAGAGAGACACAGACAGAGTGAGACACAGAGAGAGACAGAGTGAGAGACACAGACAGCCAGAGTGAGAGAGACAGAGTGAGAGAGACAGAGACAGACAGAGTGAGACACAGAGAGAGAGACAGAGTGAGAGAGACAGAGACAGACAGAGTGAGACAGACAGACAGACAGAGTGAGAGACACAGAGACAGACAGAGTGAGAGACACAGAGACAGACAGAGTGAGAGACACAGAGAGAGAGACAGAGTGAGACACAGACACAGTGAGACAGACAGAGTGAGAGACACAGAGACAGACAGAGTGAGAGACACAGAGACAGACAGAGTGAGAGAGACAGAGACAGAGTGAGAGAGACAGAGACAGAGTGAGAGAGACAGAGAGAGACAGAGTGAGAGAGATAGACAGACAGACAGAGTGAGAGACACAGAGACAGACAGAGTGAGAGAGACAGACAGACAGAGTGAGAGACACAGAGACAGACAGAGTGAGAGAGACAGACAGACAGAGTGAGAGAGACAGACAGACAGAGTGAGAGAGACAGAGACAGACAGAGTGAGAGAGACAGAGACAGACACAGAGTGACAGAGTGACAGAGACAGAGTGAGAGACACAGAGACAGAGTGAGAGACACAAAGACAGACAGAGTGACAGACAGAGAGAGTGAGAGAGACACAGAGACAGAGTGAGAGACACAGAGACAGACAGAGTGAGAGAGACAGAGACAGAGTGACAGAGACAAGACAGAGTGAGAGACACAGACAGACAGAGTGAGACACAGACACAGTGAGACAGACAGAGAGAGAGACACAGAGACAGACAGAGTGAGAGAGACAGAGACAGACAGAGTGAGAGAGACAGAGTGAGAGACAGACAGAGTGAGAGACACAGAGACAGACACAGAGTGACAGAGTGACAGAGACAGAGTGAGAGACACAGAGACAGACAGAGTGAGTGAGACAGAGACAAGACAGAGTGAGAGAGACAGAGTGAGAGACAGACAGAGTGAGAGACACAGAGACAGACACAGAGTGAGAGACAGAGTGAGAGACACAGAGACAGACAGAGTGAGAGACACAGAGACAGAGTGAGAGACACAGAGACAGAGTGAGAGACACAGACAGAGACAGAGACAGAGTGAGAGAGACAGAGACAGACAGAGTGAGAGACACAGAGACAGACAGAGTGAGAGACACAGAGACAGAGTGACAGAGACAGAGTGAGAGACACAGAGTGAGACAGACAGAGTGAGACAGACAGAGTGAGACAGACAGACAGACACAGAGACAGACAGAGACAGAGTGAGAGACACAGAGTGAGACAGACAGACAGACACAGAGACAGACAGAGACAGAGTGAGAGACACAGAGACAGACAGAGTGAGACAGACAGAGTGAGACAGACAGACAGACACAGAGACAGACAGAGACAGAGTGAGAGACACAGAGACAGACAGAGTGAGACACAGAGACAGAGTGAGAGAGACAGAGACAGAGTGAGACACAGAGTGAGAGACACAGAGTGAGACACAGACACAGAGTGAGACAGACAGAGACAGACAGCGTGAGAGACACAGACACAGACAGCCAGAGTGAGAGAGACAGAGTGAGAGAGACAGACACAGACAGAGTGAGACACAGAGACAGAGTGAGAGAGACAGAGACAGACAGAGTGAGAGAGACAGACAGACACAGAGACAGACAGAGTGAGAGACACAGAGACAGACAGAGTGAGACACAGAGACAGAGTGAGACACAGACACACACAGAGTGAGAGAGACACAGAGACAGACAGAGACAGACAGAGTGAGACACAGAGACAGAGTGAGAGAGACACAGAGACAGACAGAGAGAGACAGAGTGAGACACAGAGACAGAGTGAGACACAGACACACACAGAGTGAGAGAGACACAGAGACAGACAGAGACAGACACAGAGACAGACAGAGAGAGACAGAGTGAGAGACACAGACAGAGTGAGACACAGAGACAGAGTGAGAGAGAGACAGAGTGAGACACAGACACACACAGAGACAGAGTGAGACACAGAGACAGACAGAGTGAGACACAGAGACAGAGTGAGACACAGACACACACAGAGTGAGAGAGACACAGAGACAGACACAGAGAGACAGAGTGAGAGACACAGAGACACCACAGGAGACACGCCACGTCAACGTGTTACGATTAACCTATCGGCTCACACGCGTGTTGATTTAAAATAAAATAAAAAAAAAATCGTCATCCAACGTCCGCACGACGTTTGTCCGACGCTCCGACCCCGACTTTACCTCAGAACTTGAGCGACCAGTCGACAATTTCCACCCCCGACGGCCCCCCACGAGTCGCCGGACCCCCCTCACGAGTCGCTGTCGGCCGGAGAGAGAAACCCGCGAAGCGGTGGGTGGCAGCCGAGTGAAGTTGACACGGACAGGAAGCGGAAGTCGCTACGGGGGTGGGGTGGGGAGGGGGCTGTGAGGGGGCGGGGCGAAGGAAGAGGGGAGGAGCGGGTGAGGGAAGGGGGCGTGGTTTGAGGGGCGCGGGGGGAAGCGAGGTGTGGAGAGTGGGCGGGGCGACGAAGGCGTGGGGCGGGTGGAGGGAGAGAGGGGGGAGGGGTGGCGAATGGGAGTGCTGGGGGGCGGGGAGAAGGGAGAGGGGGCGTGGCGAGGGGGTGGTGAGGGGGCGGAGCGAAGGGGCAGGGGGGAGGTTAGAGGGAGAGAGGGGGGAGGGGTGGCGAAGGGAGGTGCTGGGGGCGGGGTGAAGGAGGAGGGGGCGTGGCGAGGGGGTGGTGAGGGGGCGGGGCGAAGGGGCAGGGGGGAGAGGCGGGGGAGGGAGGGGTGGCGAGGGGGGGAGGGGGGGCTAAGGGGGCGTGGCAGCGGAAGAAATAAAGAGCGGGAAAATTAAGTTAATTATTAATAAAAAAAATGTTAATCATTTTTATTCGAAGTTAAATAATAAAAACGTCCGCTGATTATCATAATTTAAGGCGTAAAACCGCTCTCACCAAACCGGAGGCGCGCATAGACGTGGTAAAAACCGTGTGCACCAATCAAAAGCGTCCACGAATATGTTATCATAATTTATGCGTGACGTCACCTTCACTCCGTGAACGGTGAAGCGGCCATGACCCGGAAGCGGAAGTCTCTACGGGGCGAGCGACGAGAAACCGGAAGTTGTAGAGAGAAAAGGCGGGAAATGTTAAAATCATAAAATTTATATTCTTGGTTCTTTAAAGTAAAGTCACGTAGAAGGGAAATAAAAAAATACAAATAAAACAACAAAATTATTTGTTTTTTTCGGTAAAGCCACGTATAAATAAGAAATAATAAAACAACAAATTATAAACAAGAAATAATAAAATAAAAAATAATGATATTTTATTACTTATTATTTATACGTGACTTTACCCAAAAACACAAAGAGTAATCCCTGCACTCACGAAAGCTTCAAATCGAGTTTAAAACAACAAAATTCTCACGACGTTTCCAAGAATATGGATCCCTGCACTCACTAAAGCTTTCAATCGAAATTATAAAAAAAAATGTATTTCTAGATTTAAGGCTTTGGTGACTGCAAGGATCCACACTCTTTGGTTCTATTCGGTAAAGTCACCAAGTGTAGGTACAAAATATAAAGTAACAAAAAATCACGACGACGTTTCGGCCACAACACAAGCGGCCTTCATCAGGCGAAGGGACCGGACTGTCCAGAGGACAGCGTTGGAGTGAAGACAGCCAAGCCCAGGTCTCCTCCTTTACGCCGTGTGGGAGGAAACGCCTTGACAAAGGAATTATCGTAACAATGATGCTAAGAAACCCATTAGCAACATCAGCAAAAAAATGAACGCTCTGACCTCGCGAATTAAAAAAAAAACAGAATTGATATGAATTTTTATTTAAAGCTTTCGTGACTGCAGTAATTCATATTCTTAGTTTTTTTTCGGTAAAGCCACGTTGAAGAGAAACAACAAAATAATATATATATAAAACACATATATAAAACATATATATTTTATATATTTATTATTTTGTTGTTTCTCTTCAACGTGACTTTACCGAAAAAAACTAAGAATAAGAATTGATATAGTCATCCTCTCAGCCGACAAAGACAACGCTACTGTTATTATGGATAAAGATTCGTCCAACAACAAAATCCAGAACCTGCCCAACGACGGAAGTTACTCAAAAATAAAAAAAATGACCCTACCAATAGCCCAGCGATGAAAACCAACAAGATCATCATTGGAAAGATTTGATAAATCATTTCAGTTCTTGATTGATTGTTCACGCTTACAGTGGCTTTCAGACAGCATACATAAAAACAAATTTCGTCTCCCCCCTCCTCTTTTCAAAAAATAGATGGACTAGTCCTGGCAAACAGCCAATCGTTGCGCGTGACGCAAACGTAATTTTTTTATATATATATAAATAAATATGCCGTTTTCGAAATAAATTTATGCAAACCGACACACCTGATGATGACCGTTTGAGTTATGGTCGAAACGTCGTGAGAATTTTTTATTGTTTTATATATATTTTGTTATTTTGTTGTTTCTCTTCAACGTGACTTTACCGAAAAAACTAAGAATATGAATTACTGCAGTCACGAAAGCTTTAAATCAAAATTTAAGATCATCACAAGTTCGAATTCCCTAATCGACCCAACTAAACGTCCATCCCTAGAACCTTCTGCTGCAAGACCCCCTAGATTCTATGGTCTCCCCAAGATTCATAAAGAAGGCACCGCACTACGACCCATCGTATCCACGATCAACTCCCCTACCTATAGACTAGCCCGTTTTCTGTCAGATACCTTGCCGCCTTTCACTGGCAAGACCGCCTCAGCGGTACTTAACTCAGCCCAATTGGTCTCTATGGTCAAAGACATTGTACTGTCCCCTGACGATATCCTCGTCAGCTTCGATGTGGTCTCCTTGTTCACCAAGGTCCCAGTACCTGATACCATTGAAATAATTGAAAATTTGGTACATGGACTAGACCTTGCCGCCTTTCACTGGCAAGACCGCCTCAGCAGTACTTAACTCAGCCCAATTGGTCTCTATAGTCAAAGACGTTGTACTGTCCCCTGACGATATCCTCGTCAGCTTCGATGTGGTCTCCTTGTTCACCAAGGTCCCAGTACCTGATACCATTGAAATAATTGAAAATTTGGTCCAACATGGACTAGACCTTGCCGCCTTTCACTGGCAAGACCGCCTCAGCAGTACTTAACTCAGCCCAATTGGTCTCTATGGTCAAAGACGTTGTACTGTCCCCTGACGATATCCTCGTCAGCTTCGATGTGGTCTCCTTGTTCACCAAGGTCCCAGTACCTGATACCATTGAAATAATTGAAAATTTGGTCCAACATGAACTAGACCCCGATACACCTGCGCTGATTAGACACTGCCTCAACAATACCTACTTTACTTGGAATGGCTCCTTCTACAAACAAAATGAGGGTACCCCCATGGGATCCCCCTTATCACCAGTGATAGCCAATATTTTCATGGAGAAATTTGAATCGGACGCCATCCAGACTTCCACCCTCAGACCTTCCCTGTGGAAGAGATATGTGGATGACACTTTCGTCATTTGGCCACATGGCCTCCCAGCTCTGAACCTTTTCCTACACCACATCAATTCCAGACATCCCACCATCAAATTCACCATGGAAGTGGAGAAAGATGGCAAGCTGCCATTCTTGGATGTTCTGTTTGAGAGGAGACCTGATGGCTCATTGGGGCATTCTGTCTACAGGAAACCCACCCACACAGATTCCTACTTGAAACCTGATTCCCACCACCACCCAGCCCAAAAGAATTCTCTCATCAAAACGTTATACCACAGGGCTCATTGCATTTCGGACCAACACCACCTGACCAGTGAATTAAAACATGTACACCTGGCCCTCAAAAGAAACGGATACTCTGACCGTACCATCCACCAAGCTGTTTCTCCCTCCATACAGAAACAACCACTTGATACTCCGGTAAAAACCATCACACTACCATATATAGCAGGCGTTACTAAAAAAAATCTCCAAAATTCTAAACAAACACAAGATCCAGGTCCGGTTCAATACAGTACACAAAATTCGTGACCTGATCCCATCCGTGAAGGATGTCGTTCCTGACTTTTGAATTGATGAAACCACATGTCTCTGACCGAATTCGCGAGCACAAATCAGATTTGAAACACGGCAGAACGAATTCTTCTGCCGTGGCTGATCACTGTTACAACGCTGTGGGTGATCACGATATAGTTTTATCCGATGCCGAGGTTCTCTGCAAACCCACGGGTTTTTTATCAGAGATTTGTCCACGAGGCAATTCAGATCTACAAACACGGACACAATTTCAACCGAGAAGATGGTTTCAAATTAAGCAATCGTTGGAAAGATGTTCTGAATCAAACCAAACGTTAAACTAATTTTCAACGGTAGCATATTTATTCAAGTAGTGGTATCCCAAACTTTCACAGCAGCTTATTTCGCCTCACACCAACATTATGTAAACTCCTTCCCCCCCCCCCCACCCACCGTGCCGGTCCAGTACATCATTGTTACGATAATTCCTTTGTCAAGGCGTTTCCTCCCACACGGCGTAAAGGAGGAGACCTTGTCTTGGCTGTCTTCACTCCAACGCTGTCCTCTGGACAGTCCGGTCCCTTCGCCTGATGAAGGCCACTTGTGTTGTGGCCGAAACGTCGTCGTGATTTTTTGTCATTTTATTTTTGCTGGGAGGTGGTGACGATTATCATAATTTGTGTGGTGTCAGCCAGGCACTGCCCAGATAATCGGCGATGGTTCGATTATCATAATATATGCGTGACGTCATCTTCCCACCAACCAGATGCTTGGTGGTGGTGATTATCATAATGCATGCGTGATGTCTCTCTCTTATCTCTCTATGTATCTCTATTATCTCTCCATTTATCTCTCTTATCTCTCTAATTATCTCTCTTATCTCTCTTTATCCCTCTATTTAACTCTCTCTTATCTCTCTATTATCGCTCCATTATCTCTATTATCTCTCTTAACTCTCTCTTGTCTCTCTCTTGTCTCTCTCTCTTGTCTCTCTCTTATCTCTCTCTTATCTCTCTCTTAACTCTCTCTTATCTCTCTATTATCTCTCTATTATCTCTCTTATCTCTCCATTATCTCTCTCTTATCTCTCTCTTATCTCTCTCTTAACTCTCTCTTATCTCTCTCTTAACTCTCTCTTAACTCTCTCTTATCTCTCTCTTAACTCTCTCTTAACTCTCTCTTATCTCTCTTATCTCTCTCTTAACTCTCTCTTAACTCTCTCTTATCTCTCTATTATCTCTCTATTATCTCTCTTATCTCTCCATTATCTCTCTCTTATCTCTCTCTTAACTCTCTCTTATCTCTCTCTTAACTCTCTCTTAACTCTCTCTTATCTCTCTCTTAACTCTCTCTTATCTCTC